CATGTCGGTTCCACTTCACACATTTATCCCTAAAGGTAATGCAAAAAACGATCGCGAAAACCATGTAATTTATTTTCCTGCCGTTTCAGAATTAAACAAGCTTTGATGGTCAGGCGTACAGAGATGTAATCTTACTTAATTTGGATACGCCAGGACAATAAATGCATTGTTCCTTTGATCGCGTTAGCCACTAATCGATGTGCTGCAATGCGGGTTTATGCTTTAATCAGTGTTATATACATATAATGCCAAATGGTCTAGTGTAATATTATAAATCCATCCTTTTAGTGTTTCTCCTAACGACACATTGGTACGATTAGCTTACACCTTTACGAGTAAAGTTCACTTTCACAAGCCACCAACGCTTTGGCATCCTCTGCCGTAAAAAAGGATGCGTCAGAAGCAACTGAACGTATCGCTCAGAGCTCGATGTGGTTAGTGCTCGTTGTCCGAAAGCTACCATGCGTTCAAGGTTCGTGCAAATAAAAGACCCACAGGAGGTACGTGAACAGTCTGGCATCATTTATCAAGTGCCACATCGCGACTGTTATTTTCATTATACAAGGCAGACCGGACGAATAATCAGCCCGTGACTAACCAAGCACCAGATCGCTACCCACACTCCGGAATAGGGCCATCAATTGGACTTTTTTGGCACCCGGATAATGGCACGCTCCGCCAATAAGACGGGGCGAAAACGTTTGGAGGCCTGGGTATCAGGTCCCAACTAGATTAATAGGAACGTGGATATACCGCCCCGTTATTTTGCCCTCCGTGCTCGTGACCAGAAGCCACGACTCAGCTCCTGCAGAGGCACGCCAGCTGCCACGTCAGGGTTGCGTAGCCAATGTTTGCTGCTTCTCCACTGACTGATGATAGCCCCTAGTGTGAAGCCGAAAGCTAAAAACAATAAAATAGTCGTCCCAGCGATTGCGCCTTCTTCTTCTTTACAAAGTTCAATTTTTACTGTAAAACGTTTTCTTTGTTTAAATATATCGCTTGGAATACTTAACAGTCGTCAGGTGTTTAATAATATAATTCGATTGAGAAATTCATAGAAAGTCAAGGGTCAGCGACGAAAAATGAAGTGTACCTATTTGGCATAAGCATGCATTTGCGCATTTAATAGGATGGGGTTTACGTTTGTGAGATAGACTAAGATTATTGAGAAAGGGTGACCTTCAGGGCGTTCCGCATAGCCAGAGAGTTAATAGTCCACTGCATTCCAAGGAAAACAAAATCCGCATGAGGAACATAGGTCCACTCGTGAAGGTGCAAACAGAACTCAATTAGACAAAGCCAACTGCCATTAAGGTTTCCAAAAGTTCCCTTGTTGATTTGGTATGGGTAAATCACCTCAGCAATCTAGAGTTGGTTTCTTTATCTAATGTTTTTAAATCGCTAGCTATTCTTTTTTTCGAAAAGATTGGCACTGACCGGAAGCTCATTTTTATTATATCCAGCGTTGTCCGTTCAATTTAATTATCTGTAACGAGCGAAGAAACTGAATGATTGTTTAAGTACACCAAGGTCGTCAC